CGCCACCTTAGGTGAATATGGCTGGCGCCTTAGCCGCTTGAGCCACAGGCACCGAGCCAGCCGAGAAATTCTATAGCTTAAGATCACAAGCTAGTCAATGGCAGAGCCATGCTTGAATTTCAGATCTTTTTGACTCCCAAAACCTTCATTCTTTACATTCTTTCTTTATTGTACCTAGTCTCTGAACATTTGTTTAAAGGAGACTTTTTTATCATTCCTAGCCACTCTCCAGTGAGTCGGAGAGATCCTCTGTGTTTATTGTTTTGATCTAGCAGTTGAGCCAGCAAGCACACCTCTTTCCTTTTTTTTTTTCCTTTTTTTTTTTAGATAGAGTCTCACTATGTTGCCCTTAGTAGAGTGCTGTGGCATCACAGCTCACAGCAACCTCAAGCTCTAGGGTTTAGGCGATTCTCTTGCCTCAGCCTCCCAAGTAGCTGGGACTACAGGTGCGTGCCACAACGCCTGGCTATTTTTTTGTTGTAGTTGTCATTCTTGTTTAGCAGGCCTGGGCTGGATTCAAACCCGCCAGCTTCAGTGTATGTGGCTGGGGCCCCAGCTGCTAAGTTCCAAGCCACATGCCTCTTTTCTTATTCCCTCTTTTTCTACAGTTTAGGGAGAACTTGCCCCAGGCTTAACCTAAATATCTTTCATCTTTTTCAGTGTATTTATTTGTGAGAATCAGAGGATTTGATGCATTTCCTTATTTGTTTGACAGGAGCTCAATTTAGAAATGGAAGACCAACAGGAGAACCTAAATACTCTTGAGCACATGGTCACTGAATTGAGCTCCTGTGGCTTTGCACTAGACCTGTCTCAGCATCAGGACAGGGTGCAGAACCTCAGAAAGGACTTCAAAGATCTACAGAAGACAGTTAAAGAAAGGTGAGTTTTCACTTGTGTTTGATTAGTGTTGGGAAACTATTTTTTTCTTGTTGTGCAGTAAGATGATCTTTTCTTTTTTCTTCCTTTACCAGAAAAGATGGCATCCAAAACTGCTACCGAGTCATAGGAAGGTGGATAGTGTCGCTTTTATATAAAGAATCTACTTAATACTTAGTGGGTGTGTTTATTACTAACCAGCAGAAATTGGGACTGAGTTCCCTGTCATCTGGATGAAATAGAACAAATTTGGGGCAGCAAGTAGAATTATAACAGAATTTGAAATAAAGAGAAAAATTGGAGAAGACAGCCCAGACACAACTCAGTGCTGTATTGGCACTCCCTCTCCTTGTTTTGACCACATTTAAATTGCTGTTAGAGGAGTGTCTGTATTCTCATCTCAGGCTGATTCTAGCTCACTGTTGAAAAGCCATTATTACTCATTATAAAGCCTTACATGGGAGTTAGAGCATGAACCAGACCTCTTATCTTCATTTAGCCATAAATATACTCTTGGTTTGACAGATGACTGCCTTAGTGACCAGAAGAGAGCAGTCGCTGAAACCAACATTGTTACCAATGGGTTAAAATTTAGTGGGGGGGCTTGGGATCAAAGGTCGGAAAGGTTTTGCTTTGCCTTCTGAATGCTGAGTGCCTTTTAGCTGTATGAGGGATCAAGATCTCTAGATTGACATCTGACTGATAGAGGTGGCCATTTCTAAAATGTTATCCTTGATTTATTTCATTCATTGGCATGCTTAACCTAGGCCAATCCCCTGACTTTTCTGAGGCTCTCTTTCACCACCTTCCTTGCTAAAGGAATCAGCATTTGGGTTGGACCTTGAAAGAGCCAAATACCTAAAATGTAGCAGAGCTGGAATTGAGATCCAAAGCCTACATTCCTTCCATTGTATCATGGTACTTAAATAGCAGGCTCCTTTTAGTTTTTCTCACTTTCACTTTAGTTCAGAGGAAGATTAAAGACTTCTTGCCCCAGAAGTGTCCAAAAAAGGGCAATAGATTCCTGGGTTTGATGCTCTTCTACATTATATATGGTTCTTCAGCCAAACCTGGTATGGAAAAGATTATGGGAAGGAAAGGCCCTGTTAGCAAACTGTTGCCTAGAGTCTCAGAATGAACCTAGTTGTAGTCAAGTTGACTTTACGAAACTTCATCTGGCAAGTAACAAAACTTCTTTGTTGACAGAGAGAAAGATGCATCGTCTTGCCAGGAACAGTTGGATGAATTCCGGAAGCTGATTAGGACCTTCCAGAAATGGCTGAAAGAAATCGAAGGCAGTATTCCACCTACAGAGACTTTCATGAGTGCTAAAGAGCTAGAAAAGCAGATTGAACACCTCAAGGTAGGTGAATAAAAGGGGCTTCAGGAATTAGGCTACGCTGGGATTTGTAAACTTTTATGTACTGATATCCAGCTATAGTGGGGAAATGGTATGAGAAAGCCAAGTTAACTCTCTGCAGTAGAATAGAAATTCCTCCATTCTCTTCATGTGGTTCCCATCTGCCATTACCCTGCACTGAGCACTACAAAATTTCCTATTTACAACCCAAATCTAAACAAATCATCTGAAAATAAAATTAATAAAATTTCAACTGTTTCGTGGATCCCTCAACTGCTGTGGTGGGTCATAAAAAAGACATTTGTCAAAATCTAATCCTTAAGATTCTCTTATTGTATATTTGAGAATTAGACAAATATATATGAGTAAGTAGCCAGAAAATATGGTTAGGAAATTGAAGGTGAAGTACTATTCTAGCTACTAAAGAAAAAGAATCAGGACTTGGTGCCTGTAGCTCAAGTGGCTAAGGTGCCAGCCACGTACACCAGAGCTGGTGGATTTGAATCCAGCCTGAGCCTGCCAAACAACAATGACAACTACAACCAAAAAATAACCAGGCATTGTGGCAGGCATCTGTAGTCCCAGCTACTTGGGAGGTTGAGGCAAGAGAATCGCTTAAGCCCAGGAGTTAGAGGTTGCTGTGAGCTGTGATGTCACAGCACTCTACCCAGGGCAATAGCTTGAGGCTCTATCTCAAAGAAAAAAAGAAAGAAAAAGAATCACATGGTTGGTAGGTACCTTCAAGTATGGGACCAACTTTCCTCCCAACCCCTTGCAGAATCCCTTCTATACCATCTTTGATTTATGGTTATCCAGCCTCTTCTCATACCTCTAACATATCTCATCTTCTTATTGAAATAGCCAAATCTGCCTCTAACTATCATAGATTCAGCCTCATTTTCCCAGTAAAGCACACTTTATCGTGAGCAGATGAAAGAGTTTGATTGCATTCATAGAGTAGCACCAGGAACATTTGCTGTTGGAAATTCCCTAGGACAGAGGTTCCCCAACTTTCTCATTTCACAGTGCCCTTAGTATTTTATGAAATTTTTCATGGTACCTCAAAGCCAAGGAAAAAACCCTAAACCTCTAATAGTTAAACTTGCTAAGCAATTAGGTCCAAACAATTGAGTAGTAGTTGTTCATATAGTATCCAACAGATGCCACTGTGTTTTCCTTAAAAAATTAAAATATCCTGTGAGTCAAAGTATAGTTTGGGTACCGTTACCCTTTGGAATCAAGGGTGATTAATAAAAGGATTGACAGGCAGTGACCATAGGTCAGTTGAATTTAGGCATTATTAGCTTGCTAGATGTTAATGGCTCAGTCTTTCTCTGCTGCTACTCTATAGGTTAAAGTCAAAAGCAAACCAGATCGTCAGGGATACTCAGTGTAGAAGAAAGGATTGAGGCCAGGCGCAGTGGTTCATACCTGTAATCCTAGCACTATGGAAGTTCGAGGCGGGTGGATTGCTTGAGCTCAAGAGTTTGAAGCCAGCCTGAGCAAGAGCGAAACCAAGTCTCTAAAAAATAGCCAGGTGTCATGGCAGGCGAGTGTAGTCCCAGCTACCCTGGAGGCTGAGACAAGAGAATCCCTTAAGCTCAAGAATTTGAGATTGCTGTGAGCGTTGACGCTACGGCACTCTACTGAGGTCAACAAAGTGAGACTTTTGTCTCAAAAAATATAAAAAGAGGACGGTGCCTGTGGCTCAAAGGAGTGGGGCACGAGCCCCATATGCCAGAGGTGGTGGGTTCAAACCCAGCCCTGGCCAAATAAAACTGCAAAAAAAAATAAATAAATAAAAAGAAGAGATTAGAGGCTAGGATGGTGTCCTTGCTCTAAAAAGAATAAAATCCAGCAGTGACTGTGGCTCATTGAGTAGGGTCCACATACACTGAGGCTGGTGGCTTCGAACCTGGCCTGGGTCAGCTAAACAACAATGACACCTGCAACCAAAAAAAAAAAAAAATAGCTGGGCATTGTGGCAGGTGCCTGTAGTCTCAGCTACTTGGGAGGCTGAGGCAAGAGAATTGCTTAAGCCCAAGAGTTTGAGGTCATTGTGAGCTATGATGCCACGGCACTCTACCCAGGGCTACAGCTTGAGACTCTGTCTCAAAAAAAAAAGAATAAAATCCTACTGCTATGGCAGGCAATCACATCTTAGCATCACCTGGTACTTTAGTCTTAGAATAGATGCCGTTATTTTCTAATGACTTTCTATAATATTTAGAGTTCTGATTTTAAACCCAACACAAAAGTTTCCTTAATACATGCAAAATGTAGTTGTGATTCTATATATTTCTCTGCATCTCAATATCAGGCTCATTTACCTACCAGTCACCATTTCGTCTTTTTTTTTTTTTTTAATTTTTTGGGACAGTCTTGCTCTGTTGCCCAGGCTAGAGTTCAGTGGCCTGATCATAGCTCATTGCAGCTTCAAACACCTGGGATCAAGTAATCCTTCTGCCTCAGCCTTCTGAGTAGCTAGTACTATAGGCATGTGCCACCACACCTGATTAATATTTCTTGCTTTTTTTTTTTTTTTTAAAGTGCCAAAGTCTCGCTTTGTTGCCCGGGCTGGTCTTGAACTCCTGGCCTTAAGCAGTCCTCCTGCCTTGGCCTTCCAAAGTGCTGGGATTATAGGCATGAGCGACTGTGCTCAGACTCCTCTTTATACTTTACATGCATGTAGCTCTCATCTGTCCACCTGGCAAACTTTTGTCTTAACCTCAAAGCTTTACTCCCTCTAGGCAGACCTAGGTATATTTCCTTTTGCCCTCTCAGACTGTCCATATTTCTGTAATAGAATTGATCACATTATATAATTGATAATTTGAGCACCTGGTTTTAGGCACCTGTTTCATAATCCTATTTTATATCCCCAGTGTTTGGCATGGTACCTATCCTGTAGCAAATGCTCAATAAATATTTGATGAATGAATAAATGAATCAGAAGGTTCTGGCAATTTAGGATATTGGTCTCCCTTGCTTTGGCTGGTTAAGCCAGGATTGTCAAATGGCTAAATATACAAGGATAGTCTCTTAATGCTTTCAAAAATTATAGGGAATACATGTAAAATAGATGTCCTTACTTATGAGGAGAAGGCCCCAGATGTTACATTACCCATTTTGCTCTTTAAACAGAGTCTCCTAGATGACTGGACAAGTAAGGGAACTCTAGTGGAAGAAATCAATTGCAAAGGCACTTCTTTAGAAAATCTCATCATGGAGATCACAGCACCTGATTCCCAAGCCAAGACCGGTGAGTACAGGCTCTTCAAAATGTACTGAACATTGTTCTTTGCTTTTGGCCTTTGGCTGTCCCTTTATGTAATTAAAGTTAGAATCAAGGTTGGGTATAAAAACAAAAAACAAGGGGGCACCCATAGCTCAATGGTTAGGGCACTGGCCACATGCACTGGGGCTGGTGGGTTCAAACCCGGCCTGGTCCTGCTAAACAGTTTAGCAACAACAACAAAATACCTGGGCGTTTTAGCAGGTTCCTGTAGTCACAGCTACTCTAGAGGCTGAGGCAAGAGAATCACTTGAGCCCAAGAGTTTGAGGTTGCTATGAGCTATGATGACATGCACTCTACAGAAGGCGACAAAGTGAGACTCTGTCTCAATAAAAAAAAGTGGGGTCCACAAAGCAGTCTTCTCTCTCAACCTGTTTCCCCCTTTTTGTATAGCATTGCTCCATTTTAAGAAATTCCTTTCCATCATGAGAAAAGTAAAGATACTAGTTGGGCCGCTTAGAACTGTCAAATAAACATAGGAGAATTAAAAATAAAATAGGATTTTCATCTTAAATTTCTCAGGCTGGACGCAGTGGTTCATGCCTATAATTCCAGCACTCTGGGACACCAAGGCAGGTAGATTGCTTGAGCTCAGGAGTTGCAGAGCAGCAACCTCATTTCTAAAAATAGCTGGGCATTGTCACAGGCACATGTCCCAGCTACTTGAGAGGCTGACCAAGAGGATCACTTGAGCCCAAGAATTTGAGGTTACTGTGAGCTTTGATGCCATGATGCTCTACCAAGGGCAACAAAGTGAAACTATGTCTCAAAAAAAAAAAAAGGAAAATTTTCTCTCTCTTAAACATGTGAATAGATTGGGCATATATCACCTTTAAAATTGGACAAGCCTGTGTGGGTATGAGTATATTATCCAGGAAAGCTTGGTGTTTAGGCGTCAGGATCAACACTAGGGACTGGCACACTTCTTTGAAGGGGGTACAATGATTGTACCTAGATTTATGAATAAATGTAAATTAAATCTTTCAGGCAAAATTCAGTATGAGTCTACAGGGACTTGTTGGTTGTTAATGGGATCTCACAGGTTTTATTATGAGGCTGTGATAGTGCATTCCTAATGTAAAAAAGTTTTACTTTTTTCTCCTATGAATATATATTTTCCTGTATTATTCTAAAATTATTTTTGTTTTTGTTTTTTTTGAGATAGAGTCCTACTCTATTGCCATGGGTCGAGTGCTATGGCATCATCATAGCTCACAGCAACCTCAAATTTCTGGGCTCAGGCAATCCTCCTGCCTCAGCCTCCCTAGTAGCTGGGACTACGGGCACCTGCAATGTTGCCTGGCTCATTTTTCTATTTTTAGGAGACACAGGGTTTCACTCTTACTCAAGCGTGTCTTAAACTTTTGCATTCAAGCAATCTACCTAGCCTCCCAGGGTGCTGGGATTATAGGCGTGGGCCATCAGGCCTCACCGATATTCTAAAGTTTAAAGATTTACAGGGACCAATCCAGAAGTAACATTTCAAGAAATTGATGATTCTAATATTCCTAATAAACCATTAATAAGTTCAGTGACTTATTCATGTGTGACTAGATTAGGAGAAGTGAGCAAACCTTTCCTTTCCTTTCTTTCCTTTTTTTTGAGACAGGGCCTTGCTCTGTTGCCAAGGCTAGAGTGAGGTAGTGTCCTCTTGGGCTCTCATAAGCCTATCTCAGTCTCCTGAGTAATTGAAACTATAGGCATATGCCACCATACTTGGCTCATTTTTTAATTTTTTAATTTAATTGTTGGGTTTTTTTGTTTGTTTTGTTTGTTTTTTGTAGACACTTTATTGCCTTCAGTAGAGTGCTGTAGTGTCACATAGCTCACAGCAACCTGGGCTTAGGTGATTTTCTTGCCTCAGCCTCCCAAGTAGGTGGGACTATAGGCACCTGCCACAACACCCGGCTACTTTTTGTTGCAGTTTGACTGAGGCTGGGTTTGAACCCACCACCCTTGGTATATGGGGCCGGTGCCCTACTCACTGAGTCACAGGTGCTGCCCTCATTTTTTTATTTTTCATAGAGACAAGGTCTCACTATATTGTTTAGGCTGGTCGCAAACTTCTGGGCTCAAATGATTCTCCTGCCTTGGCCTCTTAAAGTGCTAGGATTATAGACCTGAGCCACTGTGTCTGGCCTTTTCAAACTTTTTGAAGGACTAGGATATATTTTTAAAATATCAAATCTCTTATCTCAATCTACATGAAACAAATAAAAATATTTCATTGGCATAAATTTACATAAATTATTTATAGCATTGATCTGTTAAGAAATTTATCAGCATGGGTTCAGTACCTGTAGCTCAGCAGCTAGGGTGCCAGCCACATACAGCGGAGCTGGTGGGTTCAAATCTAGCCTGGGCCTGCCAAACAACAGTGACAACTACAACCAAAAATAGCCAGGCATTGTGGCAGGCACTTGTAGTCCTAGCTACTCGGGAGGCTGAGGCAAGAGAATCACCTAAGCCCAAGAGTTGGAGGTTGCTATGAGCTATGATGCGATGGCACAATGAGACTCTGTCTCAAAAATAAAAAGTTTTCTTTGGCAAAATTAAACTAGAAACTTGAAAGTGATATAACAAATTATTATCTCAAGGTTAAACCAGTAAGAATGTTTAATGAGGTCTCTTAAACACAAAAAACACCTAAAATTGACATTGAGGACAAAAGCTATCTGTAGGCTGACATCGTCAAGACTTAAAACATAAAGAATTCTGTTATCACGCAATTCTGCTTTGATGAGAACTTGCTCTGTCTAGATGTACTTCAGCATTTTTTGTCATGTTATTTAACATATTAACATGTAATACAGATGTTTTTCTTATGGCATATACATGAACTGACATAGATAGGTTTGACTACTATAAAGTGCTAGTGAAGAGCTGTCATCTTTCCAGTCACGGACACTCAAAAATAAGTTTAAATATATACTTAGGGATCGCATGAGCTGCTTTATTCTCTCGCAAAAAGTGGCATAAATATTGGTTGTATCTAGTGGGTTAAAATGTAGCATTCACCATAATTGAACCATGCATGTTTTATTGACAGTTCTAGGTAGTTAAAAATTTATCTGAAAATTAAATTAAAACCAAACATTAACAGAATCCCTAAAGCCTGCCTTAGGGTGCTTTGAAAACCAGTTTGAATATTACTGTCCTGATGCTATCAAAGTTCTCTTCCAACCCTGAAGAACAGCTCCTTACATATGCATAGCTCTTTTTGTTTCATGAAGTGCTTTCACATACATTGTCTCATGATCTGTCTCTAATAAGGCCCCAAGAATTGGCAGGATAGAGGTAAAATTACCTTTATATCCTGAAGAAGAAACCGTGTCCATAGATTAAGGCTCACAGACTGAGTTAGTGACAACCTTGTTTAGGACCTTCTCCTAAATATAATCCTCGTCCATTTTTGTTTTTTCCATCACTACACTGCAATGGGTTGTAATTTTTCTATTTGATCCATTTTAAATTGAAAGTACAATATAATTAACATGAAATTTTATAATCACTATCCTAACAAAACTATTTTTTAATGTAACCTTGCACCTGACTTTTTGTAAGTGGAATCAAGAGAATTTTATTCCATCCTTCTAACATAAATTGTTTCCTTGGGGCCACAGTGGGGTTATTTGGGTTTTTTTGAGGTTTTTTTGCAGTTTTTGGCTGGGGCTGGGTTTGAACCCACCACCTCCGGCATATGGGGTTGGTGCCCTAGTCCTTTGAGCCACAGGCGCTGCCCAAGGGGCCATGGTGTTTTATTAGGTTATATAGGTCAAGAATCATGTGAGTTATATGTGCTTTACAAGGCCCTGGGCTCAAAACTATCATAGGTTAACTACGCAACTTACATGTTAGTTAATATGTTCAAGTATCTCAGTACATTGTGAGCATTTTTCAGATTTCACATGTTTTTTGATTAAGTTGGGAAACTCCTCTGTAGTATAAGGAATCAACTTGGGGAGAAGATAGTTGAAATTTCGGTGATTAGAAACAGAACCAAAGGCCCAAAGCTGAATTTCTAAGAATAATGTTTATGAGGCAGATTTATTGGCACTTAGAATTTCTGTTTTCCTTTGGGGAACAGGGAGCAGGAAGAGGTCATGAAAGGAAAGACAAGGACTCTTCCTTTAGAAACTATATGAGAAGGGCTCATTTTAACATCTGTATTAAAAGAAGGCTACTTTTTATGTCCTTGTTCATTTTTTATATGGAAAGACATTGATATAAAAGGTAGACCTGGCTTTTTAAATTCTCATTTCAAAATGTGGTAGGTACCATTCTAAAGACTTAATTAATTTTACCTGTATTCACTTCATAAAATTAGGGCAGCATCCAAAGAATTCACATTGGAGATTTAAGAAAGGAATTGAACTTTCTCTACAAAACATTAAGAATCAGTCCTGACTTGACACTTGTAACACAGTGGTTACAGTGCCAGCCACAAACATGCAGTGGTGCTGGCGGGTACCTGTAGTCCCAGCTACTTGGGAGGCTGAGGCAAGAAAATTGCTTAAGCCCAAGAGTTTGAGGTTGCTATGAGTTGTGACACTCTCATACTACTCTACCCAGGGCAACATAGTGAGACTCTGTCTCAAAAAAAGAAAAAAGAATCTTTCCTACTAAGAAGCTAAAACACCTTGAGTGACACTTTGTTGCCTGGCAGCTAAAATGATTTGTCTTTTTCCATAGTATGTTGTCTTGTGCTGTGTTAACTTCCTGATAACCAAGCTTAAAGTGAGTGCCAAAGAACAAATTCAGTCCTATATGTATTCCTAACACGTTGGTCTTGCCCTGTTTGTCTCTCTGTCCTTCTGCTCAGGTTCCATACTGCCCTCTGTAGGAAGCTCTGTAGGCAGTGTAAACGGATACCACACCTGCAAAGGTGAGAATGCCATTTCGACAGTGTCTCTTTGTTGGGTGTGTTAGGACAGTGCTCACATTTGCATCTGTGTATGTTTCAATATGTGTGTAAGAATTGCTGCCAGATTGAGTGTAAGGATAAAGATCTGGAGAGAAACAACTGTACATTTGCTGGCTTTAGGCTAAACATGTTGGGAGTCCCTGAAACTAAAGATACTGAGAAAATAAACTAGATCACTAGATAAGGGCAATAAAGAAGGACTTTGAAGAAAATGTATGTTAACCTTTGAGTTATAAAGAAGCTGTGTGGTAAAGATAATCTAAGTATAGTCCTCAAACTTTCGGCTGGGTGACTTCTCTGTAGTTTGGAGAAGAGGGAGCTAAAGAATGCTCCAAATTTATTAAACCCCATACTGTGCTCCCCTCACTTGTTCCCATGTTTATTGAGCATCTTAAGGCATATGTGTGAGGATGTAATGGCAAAACCAGAAAGCAGATTAATGAGAGTTCTTTTGCTTCATGTATATAAACAAGAACTTTTATGTGGTTTATCAGGAAGATAATCTCCAGTTCACAAGAAGGGGTAGGAGATGTGCCTAATCCTGACAAATAATTTAGGAATGAGGAATCAAGGGCAAGGCATGGAGAGCTGTTCCCAGTCTGATTTCTGTTTCTATAATACTAGATCTGACGGAGATCCAGTGCGACTTGTCAGATGTAAACTTGAAGTACGAGAAGCTGGGGGGAGTACTTCAAGAGCGCCAGGAAAGCCTTCAGTCTGTCTTCAGCAGAATGGAGGAGGTTCAGAGGGAGGCAAGCTCAATGCTGCACTGGCTGGAATCAAAAGAGGAAGTCCTAAAATCCATGGATGTCTCATCATCTCCCACCAAGACAGAAACCGTGAAAGCCCAAGCTGAATCTAATAAGGTACTGATACTTAGCTGCATCCCAACCCAGAAGAGACTATTGAGAGTGAGCCAGGAGCAGCTGTCGAGGCTGATGATTAATATGCCTTAACTCTCCTTGAGAATTTTCTTACCTATGAAATTAGAAATTGCTATAAATGTGGCTTGGTGCCCATAGCACTGTGGTTATAACGCCAGCCACATACATTCGAACCCAGGCCCAGCCTACTAAACAACAATGATAACCGCAACAAAAAAATAGCCAGGCATTGTGGCAGGCACCTGTAGTCCCAGCTACTTGGGAGGCTGAGGCAAGAGAATCACTTAAGTCCAAGAGTTTGAGGTTGCTGTGAGCTGTGATGCTACCCCACTCTACTGAGGGCGACATAGTGAGACTCTGTCTCAAAAAGTGAAAAAAAAGAAGAAAGAAATTGCTATAAATGAGATTCAGAAACAAAACTAGATACATTTACAGAAAAAGAACAGCCCTCTCCAGGAGGATCATTTCACTGAGAGTGGAATCTCAGTTATGCTATAAGCAAAGCCAAACCATTCTCAACAAAACATCTTCTCAGCTTGGAGGGATCTAAATAACTCTGATTACAGGGTTTTTTTGTTTTGTTTTGTTTTGTTCTTATGGAGAGGGAGTCTCATTTTGTTGCTCTCAGTAGAGTGCCATAGCATCATAGCTCACAGCAACCTCCGACTCTTGGGCTCAAGCGAATCTCATGGCTTAGCCTCCCAAATAGCCAGGACTACAGGCACCCTCCGCAACACCCAGCTATTTTTAGAGACAAGGTCTCACTCTGGCTCAGGCTGGTCTTGAACCTGTGAGCTCAGACAATCTACCCCCCTCAGCCTCCCAGAGTGCTGGGATTATAGGCATGAGCCATCATGCTCAGCTACAGTTTATTCTTAAATTGAAATGTGGAACTAGGAAAAATGTCAGAAGATGTAAGACCATAGAAAATCCTGTAAGAAATAGTCATCAAAATTTTCAGTATTCCCATTGAGCATGATGAAAACAACAACATCACTGTCATTGTCGTCATCATCATCATCATATCTTGGCACTTAAAGTTTATAGGAATTAATGATTCCTTCTTATTGGGTTCTACTGATGTGTTATACATAAGAAACTCAGATCTTGCCACTTAGATTTTTCATTTAAAGTAAAAATTAAAGCAGAAAAGTTACATTTCTTAAAATCACAAAACAGGACATGGATAAAATCAGAGTAAAGCCCATAATTACCAACTAGTTTTCAGTCATTTCTACCATATACACAGTTTGTTTTCCTGTTCAGAATCTCATGCCATGCATGATGTTCTTTCTCCTAGGCCTTCCTGGCTGAATTGGAACAGAATTCTCCAAAAATTCAAGAAGTAAAGGAAGCTCTGGCCGGATTACTGGTGACATATCCCAACTCACAAGAAGCAGAAAATTGGAAGAAAATGCAGGAAGAGCTCAGTAAGTTGTCACAGGAGTGTTGCAGCTTCACTAAATTGTTGGTCTTCAAAATAAATAGAGAATTTCAGCATATCCTATAAAGCAAGAATTATTTTTACTTAATTTTCATAAATAAGGGAAAGGCCTAGATACAGCCAGAGAGTGATCCTGGTTAGAGAAAATAATTAGAGAGGTTACTCAGAGCCAGAAGTTTGCCTTTCTTTAACAAGCCAAACTGACAATCTCCTGTGTTGAAAAACTAAAGAGAGCATTGTTAATAAAAGTGAAAAATAGGAAATAATCTCCAGTGATAGTGATTTATATTACTTAATATCTTATATCTTTTGGCTTCATTTAAGGGTTTTTTGCTGATCAAACTTTAAAAATATTGATTCAATATAGGGATTAAATAAACTGTATGTTCATAATAATTGTAAAAAATGTAGATGATTACTTACTACCATGAAAATATGTATTGGCATAAAAAATGTCCATAATATAGTAAATTTAAAAACAGACCATAAAATAATATATACGTGGATATGTGGTGTATTTTACACATACTACATATCTGTGTAGTTCTATGCAGTTTTATCATATGTGCAGTTTTTCATGTAATTGCTACTGCAGTCAAGATGCAGAACTATCTATGTTACTCTAGTTAAAAGGTTACTTTTAGTTTAAAAAAAATTTCAATAATGCTCCTGAGGTTATTTCCTGTGGTATATTTGGAACATAATTTAGGGGCCAGGCCAGTTGTTGATGAGAGCAAAGGAATACATGTTCTCATTTCCTCTCTACAGATTCCCGATGGGAAAGGGCCACCGAGGTGACTGTGGCTCGACAAAGGCAGCTAGAGGAGTCCGCAAGCCATCTGGCCTGCTTCCAGGCTGCAGAATCCCAGCTCCGGCCCTGGCTGATGGAGAAAGAACTAATGATGGGAGTGCTGGGGCCCCTGTCTATTGACCCCAACATGTTGAATGCTCAAAAGCAACAGGTCCAGGTGAGCAGAATAGCTTAATGCTTTAGCTGGGGTGTCCAACCTTTTTTTGTCTCTGGTGCACATTGGAAGGGTAAAAGTTGTGTTGGGCCACACATTAAATACACGATCAGTAATGAAAGCTGATTAGCCAAAAAAAGGTCAAGGCATACTTTTGGTGATCTCTGAAAAGTTCTCATAAAATCAGCATGCAGCCCATGGGCTGGCCCCTGCAAATTTAGGGCAAAGAAATTAGAATCACATGAATCTGTATTTGAATGTTGCTTCAAATAAGTAGATTTTCTGTGGCCTTGGACAAGTCATTTAACTTTTCAGGGTCTTGGTTTCCTCAGTATGAGATGTTTTAAGATGTTTATCACAGTGCCTTTTTAATAGTAAATAATCCATTATTTATATCATCACCAGCAGGAATAAGATGAGTAGATGTGAGAATGGGGAACTTTTTCTGACTAAACTGCAGAATCATATTTTACTTTTAATCCACACTCATAGTGATTCATATTACTAAATATAATATCTTATATCTACTGGCTTTACTTAAGGATGTTCTACTGATCAAACCTCAAAAAAAATTGACTTACCATTGTGGCGGGTCCCTGTAGTCGCAGCTACTTGGGAGGCTGTGGCAAGAGAATCACTTAAGCCCAAGAGTTGGAGGTTGCTATGATCTGTGACACCACAGCACTCTACTGAGGGTGACTTAATGAAAAAAAAAAAAAACCTGACAGCCAGGCTTGGTGGCTCACGCCTGTTGTCCCAGATATCCAGAAGCCTGAGCTCAGCCGAGTTCGAGACCAGCAGAAGACCAGCATGAGGCAGATTGAGCCAGAGTGAGACCCTGTCTCTACAACAAGAAAAAAAAAAGAACAGCTGGACCTTGTGATCCCAGCTGCATGGGGGGGCAAGAGAATCACTATAGGAGGAAGAAGTAAAAAAAAAATTTTTTTTAAATTGACTTAAGTGCTGAACATTATAGAAATTTTAGTTGGTCAATATTATGTCATTTCTAATGAAATCCTGCCTAGAACTTTTCTACATCCTCCCACAAACCTGTTCCGCATCATCTTACCTTCCAAGTTCTATTAAGTTCAAACCTAAGAGTAATTTTTGAAGGAATACCTTTCTTTCAGCCCCTGTATCCAAATAATTATTGAGTCCTATTTAGTTTACCTACAAATATTTCTCTAATCCAGTGGTTTTCAAACTTTTTATTCTCAAACTCCTTTTGTATTAAAAATTATTGAGATTCCAAAGAGCTTGTGTTTATCTATTGATATGTATTGATATTTGCTATATTAAAACACTGAGGAAGGCTGGGCACATTGGCTCACCTATAATCCTAGCAGTCTGGGAGGCCAAGGAAGGTAGATGTTTGAGCTCAGGAGTTTGAGACCAGCCAGAGCAGAGTGAGACCCTGTCTCTCCTAAAAATAGAAAACCTAGCTTGGCATCCAAGCTGGTGTCTATATCCTAGCTACTTGGGAGGCTGAGGCAAGAGGATAGATTGACCCCAGAAATTTGAGGTTGCTGAGAGCTATGCTGCCATGGCACTCTATCCAGGACTACAGAGTGAGAGTCTGTCTCAAAAAAATGTAGAAATAAACCAACAACAACAAAAAAAAAAACAGGAATTTATATATGTATTAAAATAACAGTGATAAAACTATCACTTTAACCTGAGTAATATATTTTTATGAAAGAATAACATTTTCTAAACATAGAAAGTTTAGTAATGTGTGGCATGATTTTGTATCTTTGTAAATCTCTCTAATGGCTGGCGTAAGAGAATATTCTTACATCTGCTTCTGCATATCTGTTGCAATAACAAATGCCACATGGCCCCTGGAAAACTTCATTGACTGTTTATGAGAGAACAAGAATTTCAAAAGGCAAATAACATTGTAGTATTATTATGAAAATAGTTTGATCTCTGTATCTTTGCTGACCCTGGTTGCCCTTCATCAGCCTTCTCTAGTCTACTTAGAGAACTCACACTCATTCTTTTTTCTCACTTGGGGGGCAGGGGGGCGGCTTTTTCTCATTCCTCTCTTCTACCTTTTATCATTTCTCAGTAGAATTAATCACCCTATTCCAAGCTGTCAGAGTTCCATCTTTAATGTTTAACCATTTTTTGTTGTATTCCATAGTATTAGAGTTCATTGTTTTTACCTCATTATTTCTTGAGGTTGCGTCTTATTTATTTTTGTGCAGTATAAATGCTGAGTACTTCACATAAATTACATTATTTGATTCTTAAAACAGCCAAGATAAGTAGTTTACTATTCTCATTTTATAGATGAAGAAACGGAGGTTTGGAGAACTTGTTAAAACTCACCTAAAGTCCTGTATCTAATTGGTGATGGCTCCAGGAGTTGAATGCAGGCAGTCTCCCTCTACTTGTCTGTAATCCTAAGATTACATGAGAGCAGCAGGGAATAGAAAGAAATAAAAAGTAACTCTTTATGTAATTGTTCTGTATCATAACATATAGATTATATGTGCTGTTGGAATTCTGAAAAAGAAACTAAGAACAACAGACATTGAGAATTGAAGTGACAATCCCAGCCAGGAATTCCGAGGCCTGGCAAAAGGCCAGTGTAGAGAACAAGCATCAGGTTCCCAGCCTAAGCTGACTGTAGTAACTGATGCTGAAACAGAATATGGCAATAGAGTAAGAAATAAAATAGACACAGTCAAATTGTTAAGTGTTACTTCCTAGTCCTTGGAGTTTTTCTTTTTTCTTTTTTTTTTTTTCTGGTTATTTTTAAAAGAGATTGGCGCTATTGGGCACAGCAAAAAGTCAGTTTTTGTTTTGACACTGCTTTTAGATTTGTTTCTTTCTATCTTAACATCTTGGTGTCATTTCTGTTTCAGTTTATGCTGAAGGAATTTGAAACACGCAGGCAACAGCATGAGCAATTGAATGAGGCAGCTCAGGGCATCCTAACAGGCCCTGGAGATGTCTCTTCATCCACCAGCCAAGTACAGAAAGAACTCCAGAGCATCAATCAGAAGTGGGTTGAGCTAACTGACAGACTCAATTCCCGTTCCAACCAAATTGACCAAGCTATTGTCAAAAGCACACAGTACCAGGAATTGCTCCAGGACTTATCAGAGAAGGTAAAAACAGTTGGACAGCGGCTGAGTGGCCAGTCGGCCATCAGCACCCAACCCGAAGCCGTAAAGCAGCAATTAGAAGAGACCAGTGAGATTAGATCTGACTTAGAGCAATTAGACCATGAGGTCAAGGAGGCCCAGACACTGTGCGATGAACTCTCTGTGCTCATTGGTGAGCAGTATCTCAAGGATGAGCTGAAGAAGCGTTTGGAGACAGTTGCCTTGCCTCTCCAAGGTTTAGAAGATCTCGCAGGTGAGTTGGGATGGGGAACACACTTATGCTGTTGTTAGTGGCACATAGAAAGAAGGGGTGGATTATTAGTAGTTCTAAGAATGTAGGATGACTGTTAAGTAGTTTTAGGACAGAGAAGGATGTTAACCTGTCCCTTCTTCCAGCTATAATGAGAACAAATTGAATATTACTAATATGTGAAGCTTTACATAGCATATTCCTAGAGATAAAAGCTCTAATATAGATTTAACTAGCAAGTAGAGATTCATCCCTATAGATGTACTAATAGGTGAAATTGAATACATACTTTCACTGACATTCACTTAATGTTGTTTACACACACATAATGCAAATTTAGAACATATTCTGGACTTCTTATGATGACCTTGTACAAGAAAACTTTTATTGTTAATTCATTGCCTCTTTTTCTGTAAATGTTTATGACTTTTACTTTTTTTTTTTTGAGACAGAGTCTCACTATGTCTCCCTCAGTAGAGTGCCATGCAGTGGCATCACAGCTCACAGCAACCTCAAACTCTTGGGCTTAAGCGATTCTCTTGCCCAGCCTCCTAAGTAGCTGGGACTACAGGTGCCCACCACAACGACCGACTATTTTTCATTGCAGTAGTTATTGTTGTTTTAACTGGTCTGGGCTGGGTTTGAACCCGCCACCTTCAGTGTATGTGGCTGGTGTCGTAACTACTGTGCTGCGGGTACCGAGCCTATGACTTTTACTTTTTATCTGCATAAAAGTTTACTTCTGTTACTCAGATCAACTTACAGGGCTGACATAAAGATTAAATAAGATACAGTATGTGAAAGAGCCTAGTTATATGTAGTATACCATTTTTGTGGTAGGCCCTCAATTAACATTAGTTTCCTTTTCCTAAGGTTAGCCCATATACTCTCACTAAAACATTTTTAATGCCATGTTCAGGCTTGATTGATTTTAATTCCATGTTCTCATTTCAGCTGATCGCATGAACAGACTCCAGGCAGCTCTTGCCAGCACCCAACAGTTCCAGCAAATGTTTGATGAGCTGAGGACCTGGTTGGATGACAAACAAAGCCAGCAAGCAAAAAACTGCCCAATTTCTGCAAAATTGGAGCGGCTGCAGTCTCAGCTACAGGAGAATGAAGAGTTTCAAAAGAGCCTTAATCAACACAGTGGTTCCTATGAAGTGATTGTGGCTGAAGGGGAATCTCTGCTTCTTTCTGTACCTCCTGGAGAAGAGAAAAGGACTTTGCAAAACCAGTTGGTTGAGCTCAAATGTCATTGGGAAGAACTTGGAAAAAAAACTGCAGATAGACAATCTAGGCTCAAGGACTGTATGCAGAAAGCGCAGAAATATCACTGGCATGTACAAGACCTTGTGCCATGGATAGAAGATTGTAAAGCCAAGATGTCTGAGTTGCGGGTCACTCTAGATCCAGTGCAACTAGAATCCAGCCTCCTGAGATCAAAGGCTATGCTGAATGAGGTGGAGAAGCGCCGGTCCCTGCTTGAAATACTGAATAGTGCTGCTGACATTCTGATCAACTCTTCAGAAACAGATGAGGACGATATCCGGGATGAGAAGGCTAGGATCAACCAGAACATGGATGCCATTACAGAAGAGTTGCAGGCCAAAACAGGATCACTTGAAGAAATGACTCAGAGGCTGAAGGAATTCCAGGAAAGCTTTAAGAATATTGAAAAGAAGGTTGAAGGAGCCAAACACCAGCTTGAGATCTTTGATGCTCTGGGCTCTCAAGCCTGTAGCAACAAGAACCTGGAGAAGCTAAGAGCTCAGCAGGAAGTGTTACAGGCTCTGGAGCCTCAGGTGGACTATCTGAGGAACTTCACCCAGGGGCTGGTAGAAGATGCCCCAGATGGATCTGATGCTTCTCAACTGCTACATCAAGCTGAGACCAGTCAGCAAGAGTTCCTAGAAGTAAAACAAAGAGTGAACAGTGGTTGTGTGATGATGGAAAACAAGCTGGAGGGGATCGGTCAGTTTCACTGCCGAGTCCGAGAAATGTTTTCTCAGTTGGCAGATCTGGACGATGAGCTAGATGGCATGGGGGCTATTGGCAGAGACACTGACAGCCTCCAGTCCCAAATTGAGGATGTACGGCTGTTCCTTAACAAAATCCAAGTCCTCAGGTTGGACATAGAGGCCTCAGAAGCAGAGTGCCGACAAATGCTAGAAGAAGAGGGGACTCTGGACTTGTTAGGTCTCAAGAGGGAGCTGGAAGCTCTGAACAAACAATGTGGCAAGTTGACAGAGAGGGGGAAAGCTCGTCAAGAACAGCTAGAGCTGACATTGGGCCGTGTAGAGGACTTCTATAAGAAACTGAAAGTACTCAATGAGGCCACCACAGCGGCAGAGGAGGCAGAGGCCCTCCAGTGGGTAGTCGGGACCGAAGTGGACGTCATCAACCAACAGTTGGCAGATTTTAAAGTAAGTCTTGCCCTTGTGTTTTCATCTGTCTCTGTCTAATGTGTATTTCTTTGCTTCTAACTTAGAACCAATTGAGTGTACATTTCAACTTTTGTTCCTTCATTATTCTCACTTCCATCACCAGTCAGGCACACTGTTTGGAAATTAGTCTCTTGGACTTCTGGGCAAACTGGTCTGAAAATATTTCTATTATAGTTTATTTTAGTTTTTATATCCAATTAAGGATATAGAAAAAAATGTTCAAGTCTTATCTTTTACTCAGAGATTCTCTACTTAGGATTTATTGAACTTTCACATTGACCAATTTTGTAGCACCAGTGAACACGTCATCTTGGTCCCCATTGTTCAGATTGAGGCATGAGAAGCTGTAGGATAAACATATACTCATCTTCCTAATGTATCAATTTATACAGATTTGGGGGGAAATATTTGATGTATTATGTGATAAAACATTACATTTTTGTGGATTATTAAGGTAAAAACATAACACTTCAAAGAAATTTCCCATTTATAGCAACCAGCTTAAGAAAGAAAATATCTGAGACTCCTCAAAAGTACAAATTTATCTTAATTGCCAAATATTTTAATTTTTTTCCGTAGTCAAAATTTCTGCTCATAAGATTTTGTGAGTATAAATTAAAACAACAGAAGATGTCAGATGACCCCAAAGTGTGGATTTTCTGGGTCAGAGGCTTGCCTGTTGAGTCTTGGCTCTCACTGTGTGAGCCTTTTGCCCTTAGAGTTTCCTTTGCTATATAAATACCTAAAAGTACCTCACTCTGCCACTGTGCATGGAATAGGTTTGGAAGGGACACTTCTATCACTAGTGTTAATCATTCCCACTTACACAGTTAACACTCCTGCTGTCAGAGTACATTTGTTCTCTCAGAGCCCTTGCCTGTCAGAATTCTTTCTCTTAAAACGCATAGATGGCTAGGTGGTGTTGATACCAGCTCAGAGCCACATGGCCCTAGAAAGGTCACAACTTTGTAGACAAGATCCAAGTGCAAAAACAAGGCTATTTCAAAAGGGCCTCCTCTTGGAGCTTGGGGAATGTTCAGCACTAAAGTGAGACACTAGCTGAAGGCCCCCTTACCTAGTTTGGAGATACTACAATTTGGAACAACAGAAGTCAAATCATAGTTAGGGTTGTTGAGGCACCCAGTTAAGGGAAGGGGTAGGCAGAGAAAACTCAAACCCACGAGCTGTGATGTATGTTCCTCTTAGTCACTCCCACACCTCTGTTCTGGTGGCAGTCTTCCTTGTTTCTTTTCAGCTTGTGCATTTATCTTTCCTTGAAATTGATTCTACTGTTTTCTATGCTGATATTCTCAAGGAATTAGAGACATTTGGGCTGCATTGTATTAAATGTCCCTAAACTTCTGTGCAGTTTGATTTCTGTATTGGAGTTTGTGTTTAGGACCTGTACAGTGTGGTACTGGTTGGACTGGTGTGTGTATGTGTTTCTGTAGGGACAGGTAATTTCTGGATTTTTTCTCACTACCATGTCGTTATTATTGCTTACTGCTGTCACTTTTCACTGTTGTCACTGGGTCTACTCTTAGCAGTCTGCCCTTTCCTTCTAGTCTTTAGTGGGCTAGAACATGAAGTAAACCAGGCCTGTTTATTGCCTTAAAAATACAAGCTGGAATGTAGGAAAGAGTCCACAGACAGGCAAAAATACTGTTTGGATGTCCAGGCAAGTCACCTCTTCCTTTTCACTTAATCCTTGATTTCTAGAGACATTCTGAATTTTGGTGTTGCTGGAAGATTTCAAGAAATTACTGGACATTATTTTATTTGTTTCCTATTAATGTTGCGTAGTAGTGCTCAGAGCTCCGTAGCTATTTAGTTGCTTGTTATAGTCAAAGTGTTTCCCTGATTTCTAAGAATAAGCCTCCCACTGTGTGAAGGCAGGGACTGGATGGACACTGATCAGCTGGGCACCTGCAGAGTGTGTTTATCTGCAGTAGACTGGTGTTGACAAGACAAGCCTGGAAGAAGAGTGGGAACCGGGAGGAGGGTGACCAAGTGGCCCTGTGTGTGACCCATTGTTAAGTCACCAGGTAGTGATCAGTATCCCTCCTCAAAAGCCCTGTTCCACCTGTCTACCTTATAGGGAAATCAAAAACTTTGTAGAAGAACTTTTGCCTTCTCCCAGAAGTCTTTGGTCAGGAGAGGAGGAGTAGGCTCTTGGCTGAGCTCATGGGAAGTGAGAACAATGAGAGGGGAAAAACTCGGTGTATCCGTTCCACAGTGCCCTGGAGGCTGCATAAAGGGAAGGTCTTTTGGACCCATTCTGAGGACTGAGTCATTCACATGATTTGAGTATTGAGTTCCTGGGTTAATGTATTGTAGTTCAGCAATAGATTAATGGTTTCCTTGCACAAGCAGCAGACGACATTCATAAAGTATGACTCTGATTTCACATTCAAATTATTCTTAATATGGAAAAAGCAGAAATGAAGATAAATATTAAAAAATAGCATTAGCTTTAAGCTTTCAGCTTTTTTTTTATTTTTATTTTTTTGAGACAGAGTCTCACATTTTGCCCTCAGTAGAGTGCTATGGCATCCTAGCTCACAACAACCTCAAACTCTTGGGCTTAAGCAATTCTCTTAATTGAGCCTTCCAAGTTAGGTGGGACTACAGGCAGCCCCCACAACACCTAGCTATTTTTGTAGAGATGGGGTCTCACTCTTGCTCAGGCTGGTGTCAAACTCCCAAGCTCAGGCAGTCTACCCACCTTGGCCTCCCAGAGACCTAGGATTACAGGCATGAGCTACTGTGTCCAGCCCCTTTATTTATTTTTTTTTAATGGAATCATGGTCTCAGTACAGAATCTGTGTAAGAGAAGAGGGTATGAACCTGTGAGACAGAAATGCAGGTTCTGCTTTAAACCTAGCTAACTCTACAGGGGATAGTCATAACAGACTTATGAGTCAAGTCTGTGGAGAGCCCTGTCTTATTAGGGACCGTGCAGTAATGCTGACGAACCATGGAACTGCAGTCAGTCTGTGGGAAAATCAATATGGAAAACTAAAAGTCATTAATTCTAGGAAAGATATTCCCTTTACTGCTTCTGAAATGATGGAATCTGGTCAGCCAGTGAGGACCTCTTCTATGGGAATAGAAGAGAATCTTTTTCCACTCAAACCAGGCAAAGACTTCAACCTTCCTGAGCTAGAGAGGGTTCAGCTCTCTGTTGGAAGTGGAAAGGAAGAAGCCGTTCTAGATATCACTAATTAGAGTACTGAGCAGGTTTTCAAGAAACTGGAAAGAAAAGAATTTGGCTAATCTCTTCAGGAACTTCTGTTTTCCTGAACAAGAGTGTCTCAGATTATTGAGGAAAAGGAACTGTTTGTGTTTAACAGGAGACTAGGAAGGAAGGAGGGGCCTTTATATTACTGAAACTTAAACCAAAGAATTTCCCAAGGGTGACCTTCATGGGAAGGATAGAATAAAGAGAAATCTATTAAGTTACTTTTTTGTTTGTTTTTTTTTTGAGACAAAGTCTCTCTGTGTCACCCTTGGTAGAGTGCCATAGCATCACAGCTCACAGCAGCCTCAAACTCTTAGGGCTTAAGTGATTCTCCTGTCTCAGCCTCCCAAGTAGGTGGGACTATAGGTGCCCACCACAACGCCCGGCTATTTTTTTGTTGTAATGATCATTTTTGTCTAGCTGGCCCAGGCACGGTTTGAACCTTCCAGCCCTGGTGTATGTGGCCAGCACCATAATCACTGAGCTACAGGAGCTGAGCCAGTCTATTAAGTCTTACTATAACAAGAGGTGTTCCTCATTTTGAAATTCCCTACATAGGGTTTCCCTATCAAGAATTGAAGCAGGGCATTGTGGCAGGGGCCTGTAGTCCCAGCTACTTGGGAGGCTGAGGCAAGAGAATCACTCAAGCCCAAGAGTTGGAGGTTGCTGTGAGCTGTGATGCTACAGCACTCTACCAAGGGAGCATAGTCACACTCTGGCTCAAATAAGGGGGGCAGGGGTGGTGCCTGTGGCTCAAGGAGTAGGGCCCCAGCCCCATATAACAGAAGTGGTGGGTTCAAACTCGGCCCTAATCAAAAACTGCAAAAAAAAAAAGAGAGAGTTGAGACTGACTAAAGAATAAAAACCTATCTGCTTTTTAGGAAACTAGGCATAGTGATTGCACACCTGTAATCTCAGCTACTTGGAAGGCTGAGGCAGGGGGATCCCTTGAGTATGTAGGAGTTCCAGACCAGCCTGGGCAACATAGTGAGGTGCCATCCCTAAAGAAGAAAAAGAAGAATTGAGAACTCAATTTTAAATCAACTCCTCCTTTACACCCCTGTTTTCCCCCAAGAACCTTGCTGACCTCTCAGTCATACCAACTGTGTGGTAGTTTTGGCATCATACCAGTGAGCAGTACCAAGAAATCTGGATGTCCCTTCATTTATTTGTGTTATCATATGTATTTATATTTACTGTGTGTTCGGGCCAGGCTTCAGACTTGGCATTCTACCTCTGAGTGATTAAAAAAAAAATGGAGAAAACGGAAACCTCTTAGGATTTGTGAGTGCTTCTCAGTGGTTCTCTTCCCATAATCATGCATTTGAAGCATCCAAGCCAGTTGGTCTTTTCCTTGTCTGTCTTGCTGGTGGGACACAGGTGTGTAGCAGGCTTCTCATGGACTGTTTTCACTCCTATTTCAAATTGAGCAGAGCCTAGATTCAGGGACTCAATACACTTGCAGTTTCTATCTGGGAGACCTAGATTCCCTACTATGAAACCAAAATAAGAAAGTCTTGTAAACTCCTTCATTTGCTTTTCTTTGCCTCACAGAAAACAAGCTTAGGCATCCTCATGAGCACAGGTGAAAACCCACAGAAGGCAGGGCCCAACAAGGAGCTGAAAGACTGCCAGTTTGCACTGAGGTGCTCACTACTTCCTTTCAAATGATTACAGAGACAATATCAGCCCATCTACATTTTGCTGCTTAGTACACCTGCCCGAGAGTGAGTCACTA